TGAAGCTCGAGAGGGAGTTGATCGGGTGGACCCTTCTCGGTGTTATGGCGTTGTAATCGAGACGGCTCTGGGCGAAGCCGACGACGGCCAGGGTGAATCTCGCGAGGCCGAATGTGTATTTTTCGAACGCCCGGCTCCGTATGGTGTGGCTCTCTATCTCATCGCATCTCAGCATGCAGTAGCTGTCGCCGACCAGGTTGAGGATGCCCGGCCCCGTGATGGTCTGCGTCGATTGGATGACCTGCACGCTCATGAGCGGGATGAGGCCGCCCGGGATCGTGCTCCAGGACCCGCCGCCGTCTGAAGACGCCTTCGCGAGCGCGTTTCCGGAGGAGCCCGCGTACAGACCGTCCGAGGCTCTCCCGCCGGACACGACGAGCCACGCGTTCCGGCCGACCGTGAGCCCCATCTCGGAGGAGAACCTCAAGGTGGTGCGGCCGTAGTCGCCGAACTCCCTGGCCGGCATGCTGACGGGCGGGCAGATGGGGGCGCCGGGTGCAGACTCCACTTCGTCGTCGGAGGCGAGATAGAACGTGACGGTGCCGGAGGAAGGGGCCACGACGTTGCAAGCGAGCGTGATGCTGTCGATGAGGCCGCTCTGGGTGGGGCTGAAGCGGATGGCGATGAGCCGTCGGGTGGTGGGAGAGGAAGGGTCGGCGAAGGAGATGACATCTTCCGCCGATTCTTGTGTCGAGAAGGTGGTCGCGGGCATCGGGTCTTTGGCGACGCTGGTGTAGATCGCCGGTGCGTTCAGCGGGTCCTTGCATGCGAATCTGTCGCCCAAGTACTTGTGCCTCGCGGCGTATTCGTCGAAGCCGAGCACGGGCTTGACCGTGGAACGCTCGTCCGCGATGATGTGGAACGGAATGTTGGGTGCGGTGAATGTGATCAGGTTCTTGAGCTCCGGTGGTGTGGACACTGAGCGGGCCGTGACGGTGCACCCAGGGAGGGCCGCCAGGCGCGCGTTGACATCTGAGACGAGCGACGTGTCGGTGTGGTCGCCCGTGGTCAGCTCGACGGTGACGGGGCCCGTCCCGTAGTCGATGCAGAGCTTGTTGCACGCGGTGTCCACAGCGTACTGGGTCCTCGGGATGGTTCCGTCGATGATGTCTATCCCGATTACGTTCTGGAACGGGGAGTCGAATGTGACGGCGTAGAGGTTGGGTTCCGGATAGATAGTTCGGTCGCGCGTGCCGGAGTCCACTATGAAAAGGTATGTCTCCTCGACGCTGTTCTCTAGCAAGAACTGGACGTCGTCGATGGTCCCCATCTCCCTGCTGGGGGACGCCGATATGGTTGACGGGGCTTCGGACGCGCGCCGCGTCTATTTCCGCCGGGTGGTTGGAAGAGAGAGATGCTCGAGCTGGTGTTCTTCGACGAGGAGCCTCTCGTCCTCGACGCCGTTCGGAGCCTCGTTTCGAGGCCCGGCGCGGCCACCGTCCGCAGTGTCACGCTCGATTGGAAGTTGATGGACATGAACAGCGCGGCAGCATCCGAAATGGACGCGGTGCTGGCATTCGTCAATGCTCTGCCCTCGGACCGCGTGTGGGACGTCCTGCATGGTGCATTCCCTCGCGTGCGGGCGGAGGCTAGGCTCACGTGCTCGAGGCTGGGTATTCGACGGGCATCGGAACACACGGTATGCATGGACGTGGGGCCGGGCCCGCTGGTGATCATGTACGGGCCATCGAGAGGGGGCGACGCTCACGAAGGATTTTCGGCTATGCTGCGACTCGCTCCGGATCATTGCACGGTGGGCATACCTTGTGTGGGGAACGTGTTTGGGACGTGCATGACGGCCGCACGGGCCATGGAAGGGATGATGAGAGCACTGGACGACATGTCGACGAGAGGACGAGCGTCTTCACGCGAGCTTAGCTGCCAGTATCATACGGATGTGTCCGAGGTTTCCTACGGCGTACTGTACGATCAGAGGGAAATCGGCCTGCAGCCATAGAGAGCAGGTGGTGCTGAGGGTGCTCGCCTTGGAGAACAGAGACAGGAGCTTCAGGGAGAACGACAGGTCTATCTCGTCGTCGCTCTCATTGACCTTGGTGTCTTCTGAAGTCTCGAGTATGGTGCGCTGGCTGGCGAAGTCGCCCGACGTCTCGAAGATGACCTCGCGCTTCTTGACTCTCACGCGCAAGACGGAGCCCACGGTCAGCATGTCCCTGATGAGGCGCTGGAAGTCGACGGACGCCATGGTGATGCACGTGGTCATCTCCACGTTGGGCACCTTCAGCCGGTCGTCGTCGATGTCGAGCAGGCGGAGCTTGAAGAAGGTCTTGGACTTCTTCTCGCTGTTCTGGATGATGATCTCCAGGTCGTTGGGGGAGTCACTCTCGATCTGCAGCGTGAGCGTGTCCTGGCTGGAGACGGTCTTGAGCAGCTTGTACAGGTTCTGTACGTTGAGCCCGATCACCACCGTCTCGGGACAGTGGAAGACCTCGAAGTTCTGGGCCTCGAGCAAGCAGTGGCATAGCGTCACCTGTGCGGAATCCATGGCGAGTATCTTGATTCCCGACTGATTCACCACGACATTGACGTCGTTCAGGAGCTCTTTGAGCACCTCGAACAGGCCTTTGAGGGAGCTCCCTTGTACCGTCTTGATGTGCAGGGGGTATCGGGCTCGGTCGGGCTCCATGGTCGAGAGCCGGGGGATGCTTGCGTGATGCTCGCCCCGGCGCTTCCTTATGAGGGGCTCCGCTCAGAAGGAGCAGTACGATTCGGGCGCCATGGTCACGCTTGGGCGTTCGGCGTTGAAGTCGACGAAGCGTAGGGTGGAGGCATCGGAGTACATGGAGCATTCGGAGGCCGGGAGCATGCCCGACGTCTCGCCCACCGTGTCGGTTTTGCTATTCTGCCCCGCCAGACCGGACAACCACCGGAAAGCCTCCCGTCCCTGATACAGGCGTCCCTCGAAGACGACGCAGGGCACCTCGGCGATGCGATGACGCGGTCTTTGGACGCTCACGTCCACCGGACGGAGGGATGCCGCCAATTTCGGAAGCCTCTGCACGCGATCGATGAAATCTTTGCTGTGGGCGCAGCGAGGATGAAAGTACAGAACGTTGTCCATCCTGGGTTGTTACCATCCACAGAAACAATTTATGCGAGGCAGCGCGGCCCCGACTCGCTAAAATATGTCGACGCACTCTAGGACGCCATGGTGGAAAAGCCTTACGATCTGATAAGAGCGTCGTTCGAAAGGCCTAAGCCAC